GGTTGGGGGTGAAGGGTTGGGGAGAGTGGGGTTGGGGGTGAGGGGTGAGTGTAACGCCCAGGTTTGGGGAGAGTGGGGTGGGTGGAGGGTGGTGGAGGGAGCGCAGGACCTTGCTGGAAGTTGCCCAGCAGCCAGATAGAGGCAGTTGCTGGGAAGGATGAGTGAGATCAGAGTTCAGCGACAACGTCAGAAAATCAGAAGCAGAAACAGGAGTTGCCCCCCCAAACCTTTTTTTTTTCATTTGATATGATCGTGGTTGATCTGACTGTTACTCAGCTCCACTTCCCTGTCCATCCTCAATACGACCTGAGTCCCTCAGCAATCACCTACTTGTTTAACTGCACCTTAAAATTATTCAACATCCCAGCTTTATCAGGAAGAGAATTCCCACAGACTGATCATCCTCTGAGAGGGAGAATCTCCCCTCATCGCTGTCTTAAATAGGAGACTCCTTATTTTGAAACAGCTCCCCAAGTTCCACACTCGCCCTCAAGGGGAAACATCTTCTCAGTATCCATGTCGTATCCCCTCAGGATCTGTGTATAAACGGGAAGTGCGGTTCTCAGGGTTGGAAAATGCTGATGGTTGGCAGGATGCTGTGGTGATCCCAGCACTGCTGTATTGTAAGGACTTCGGCCTTTGTCAGGCTCCAGCCTGCAGAACTGAGGAGGTGCCAAGCGGACGGTGTGTTCAGCTCTGCTCTCTAGAGCTGCCATTTTCAGAAATCCAGTCAGATCAAATGGATCCGTGCGCTCTGTGGATCAGCATTCCTGTCAGATCAAACATCCTGACAGTGGAATGCAGATTGGTCGCTTCTCTGCACTGTTCCAATCTTTCCTTCACTCTGCTGTGAACTTACAAATCCCAGGCTTTGGGCCCATGGGAGAAAATCCACCCTTGCATCCAGGACAGACTTCCAGCTGGTCTTGTAAAACTGGGATTAAACTGAGAACTGACATCTCGTTTTACCTCTCTCTTCCCTCCTCCCTCTCTCCTCCCTTTTCCTGTCCCTTGCCTGTTGTCTTTCCTTCCCATCCCATCCACTGGCCTTCCCTGTATCTCAGGAGGAGTTGGTTGAGGAGTGGGTCAGGAAATTAGGAAGTGATGGGGTGGCATGGTGGTTCAGTGGTTAGCACCACTGCCTCACAGCGCCAGGGACCTGGGTTCAATTCCACCCTCAGGTGACTGTCTGTGTGGAGTTTGCACATTCTCCCCGTGTCTGCGTGGGTTTCCTCCGGGTGCTCCAGTTTCCTCCCACAGTCCAAAGATGTGCAGGTTAGGGTGGATTGGCCATGCTAAATTGCCTGTAGTGTTCAGGGATGTGTAGATTAGGTGGGTTATAGGGGGATGGGTCTGGGTGGGATGGTCTGAGGGTCGGTGTGGCCTGTTTCCACACTGTAGGGATTCTGTTCTATTCTAGAGAAGGTGCAGAAACATCCTTGGAAAGAGATGCAAGGGAACAATGTAATAATTTCAAAGTGAATTTGCATCACAGAAAACAATGTGAATTTTACAATGTGCAATAAACCTCAGGAATTAAAACCAACTGGGTCTGGGCAAAAGAAGTATTTGTTTGCTAATATCTAACAGAGTGTTAAAGGGGCAGCTTCAGCCCAGATTGTCGTGCTGGTGCTGAGAGTAGTGAAGATTGCGGTCACTTTAATACAGTACCTTGAGTGAGCTGCTCTACAGCTTCCCGGAGCTGTGCCCCGCTTGGTCCTGTCTTCACCTGCTTCGCACTCTGTGCAGTGGTCATCACGGAGTTCACTTCCTCGCATGTGGCTGCCAACGTTGTGACAATTGTACAGGTCACCACCTTGGCCGTGACTTCCTTAAAGGGTGGGTCAGAGGTGGGCCCCACTCTCTGCTCAGCCATTGCTGCCTCCCCTCCATCCCGTGCCCCGCTGCCTGGCTTATTCAGGGGCAGCAATGTCTGGCCAGGGGCAGGTTGGCTACTGGTTGGCACCACCTGGGTTGTGGAATGCGGCGTTTCCTTTGGGGTCCCTGGCGGCTGGCTGAATTCTGGCTCTTTCCTGTTCTGGATCAAATCCTTGCCGGCCTGCTCACTAGGAGGGTATCCAAAATGGCTGACCTGCACGCCCACTGACCTCTGCGGTGCCAGCTCAGTGAACCGCTCCTTCCTGCCACCTGCTGGGGCAATATCTCCCCTCTTGCCGGCTCTGCCCTCAAGGGGTTGGGGAGACTGGGGAGCTGCCTCAGATGCAGCCGGCCAGGCCCTGGATTGGTCTGGCGGTTGCTTTGGCCGACTCGGGTTAGGTCCTCCAGTGCCAGCCATTGCGCCGATGTCCGCCTGTTGCCCCTTCTCCGCCATCTCCTTCTTCTGGCCACCGATGCTCTGGTGAGCAGCCTCCAATTCCCTGGAGGCTTCCCGCAGCCGCTTCTCCAACATCGTGATCTTCTTGGTCAGCAACTCAGTCACGTGACGATAATGCTCCACCTCCAGCTGCAGGGACGAAGGGGAGATTCCCAGGTCCTTCTCTTGCACCCAAACACCCACACTCCTGACCTCATAAAGGTTTCCATTGGTCACTTTGCCCCTCGGGCTCTCATCCAGTCCTGGCCCGATGTCTTTCCTTTGCTTCGGAGCATCATGTTTGAGATTCCCGATGTTATCCTGTGGCGATTTTTGCAGCTTAGGAGAGACGGGCAATTTAGCTTTGCCCTGGTGGCCAACTTCTTCGGGTAGGTCAATGTACAGTTCCCCTTTGGACTTGCCGGCCTCACTCTCTGCTTTCTGTGGCCCAAAGCCCATGCTGTGGCCAAGAAACTTCTGACTCTTCAGCTGGACACTGAGTTGCCTCTTCTCTTCTTGAAGGACGGAGATCTTCACCTGGAGAACGGGGACTATCTTCACCTGGTCCTCCAGCTCCCGCAACCTCCGCAGGGCAGCTGCCATCTGTTCCCGGATGTTGTGTAAGTGGGTTGGGTTCGGAGTGGAGGGAGTAGCTAGGCCGGAGCTCAGCGGAGTGAACTGACCACAGGGTGCACTCTGGGAACCGTTGTAGGAGGTGAGTCTGGAGGCTGAGTGGCTTTGCAGGCCTGTCCCAGCCAGGGAGCTGGTGGAGCCTGCCACACTGCTGTGCAGGCTGCTCAAGCTTGAATAACGGGGTCTCCGGCCCTCTCTGCACCCCAGGGGCTCCTCCTCCAGCCGCCTCTTGGTCTCCAGCAGGGTCTTTTCCACCCTGGCGTTGTAATTGCTGGACATCAGGGGTGGCGGCCTGTTGTAGCTCCCTGAAAAGCCGCAGGATGGGGTGTACGTGCTCCGTCCGCAGTATGAGACTGAGGAGCGTCGGCTGTCAGCGCTGGCGTTGGAGCAGAGAGACTCAGTGGATGCCCACCAGGACCCCGTGTAGCTACAGCCTCTCGGTTTCCGGTGGATGTGAACCTTCTTGATCGTGTTCCCCTTCTCGATATCGTCCACGTACTTCACAAAGTCCAGGTCCAGATGGAAACCATAGGGTGTTTCCACAGAGTAGGGCAAGGCCTGGTTCTTATCCTTGACCTCTGCACCAGCTGGAAGGTTGACCTTACCTGGAAAGGACAGTAAGAAAGAAACTGGAGTGGATTAAGATTTCTATGATGGGTACATAGCCATCGAAACAGTCAGAATTTCCTTAATGCAGGATCCTGCCATTCACATCTCCTCTAGATGCATATTTCCTTTCTTTACCTGCCCATTTCCCTTTTGACCTAACACCATGAAACCATCTTATTGTCTACCCCCATCGCAGATCTCCCCTTCTGTTCTCCACACTCTGCTCCCAATCACTTGCTCAAGTCCAATTACATTTCTAACCTCTGGTTGAAATGTTAACTCTGTTTCTCTCTCCATAGATATTGCCAGACCTGCTGAGTACTTAGAGTCATACAGCACAGAAACAGACCCTTCAGTCCAACTAATCCATGCCGACTATAATCCCAAACTAAACTAGTCCCACTTGCCTGCTCCTGGCCCATATCCCTCCAAACCTTTCCTATTCATGTACTTATCCAAATGCCTGTTAAACATTGTAATTGTACCCACATTCACCACTTCCTCAGGAAGTTCATTCCACACGTGAACCACCCTCTGTTTAGAAAAATCTGCCCCTCATATCTTTTTTAATTCTCTCTCCTCTCATTTAAAAAAAGTGCCCCCTAGTCTTGAAATCCCCCATCCTAGAGAAAAGATGTTTTTTTGTGTGTAAGCTGCAGATTGTCAGCATCTGCTGTTTCTTTCTGCTTTTATGCTACGATTTCCTCAAGGTTCGAGGATAAAGTCTAAGGAACTCTGAGGTAGGAGCAGTCTCAATTATTCTCCTGCTCCATGGTGATGACTGTAAGAGTCAGACTGGAAGTGGGAATTCACATGTCATCATTGACTCAAAAGGGCCGAATGGCCTCTTGCCCTGTCATAATGATTTCTAGACATCTCTGATAGGGACTAAAATGCACTGTACAGTTAGTTGAAAGAACTCCTCAGAACAATGTGCCCTCCTACGTATTAAAGAGAAAGCATACCATATATTGTTGAGACAGACACTGAGAGATAGAGACAGAGAAAATGGAGAGAGGGAGAGACAGAGACTGTAGAATACAGTCACATTAAAAATTAGAGGCACTCTTTATCTACTAGTCAGAAATTTCTATTCAGTTGCAGGAATTTAAAAGATTTATTAATTTAAACTGTTTCCTGCGTCAGTAAGTATTCCGTGAGAAACATTCTCCTTGTTTCTCTGAACAATTTTTCACTCTCGCGATTAAAGATGTTTCAGAGTAATTGGGAACAATCCAAACAGTAAAGCATTTCGACCGTACAGGCTGATAACTTGTCTACTGTTTAAAACAGGTTGTTTCCGAAGCAGCGACAGACCTTTCAAATCTGTACCTTATGTTGCTATTTATCTCTAGTCTCTGAGTGCAGGAGTCCCCCTTGCCTTTCAAATACCACTCTCGCTGGCTGATACAATGCAGACGCCACAGTTTGGACTGTCCAAATTCCACTCTCCCTCTCAGCCATGAACTGAGTTCATGAGTGTTTGCACCAACCAAACAGAACAACTCATCTTGTTGACAGATGGTCACGGGACTAGTGCTAGCATCCAGGGGGTTGGAGGGCCACCCACTGAGAGCAAAGACTTGTGGAGAGTTACATCCTTAGGCCAATCCCAGAGCTGACAGTAGATGGGAAATTGATGGCATCGCCTGCATTGGTGCAGGAAAGACTCCTCCAAAATATTGTCTCTTTCACGCACACTGTGTGCCATAGTTAGAACAGCAAGGGCACACGGAGAGGCCCTTACAGATGGAATTCCACCATGATTGTGAAGTAAGACAGTGTTGAGCAGCAGGGGAGGTTGGCTTCCAATAAGAGGGATAAGCAGGTTACTTCTGAAAACAATGCTGACTTCACAAGGAAGAAGGGGTTTGGTTGGGCGACAGAAACCCACCTCCAAACAGATGGGAAGGGGGCAAACATTTCCAGGAAAGATCAGCAGATGGGAATATCAGGGAAACTGCGATCAGAGGTTGTAATGAAACCCACATTGTGGTGGTGCTGTGATACAGTTCACTCAGGGAGACCAAGATGTTGTATTATATGCACTTTTATACACATCTTGGAGCCTGGAGCTGGGGATAGTGATGCTAGAGGCTTCAACATTGTTTCCATCATGTGGCTGGTCAGGAATCTCTCCCACTCTTGCCGCCTGTCGCTGGTGCATGCTAGATTGAATTACAAGTTGACACTCAACTTGTCGGCCTGTCTTATGAATGAAATACATTGGAGCAACTGAGTGCAATTCTGGCCAGTACATTTTAAGAATGATGCCAAGGCTTCATAAGTAGATGCATAGAGCACATGTACAAGATTATGGTGCTCTGATGAAGACTCATCTAGATTCAAAACGTTAGCTTGCTCTCTCTCTCTCCACGGACGCTGTCTGACCTGCTGTGATCTCCAGCATTTGTGGTCTTCAGTACAGATGCCAGCATCTGCAGTATTTTGCTCCTGGATTATGGTGAACCTTTACAAAACACTGCCTAAGCCATATCTGGGAGTACTGCATTCAAGTCTGGGCACCAGACTTTATGCAGAATGTGAACATATCGGAAATATGGACATATTGGAACATGTTGGGCGCAGAAACATTGATGAGAAAAGTTCTAGGGTGAGAGGTTTCAGTCATAATCACAGAAGCTGAGGCTGTTAATCCTGTTTTCTTGAAGGGAAGAGGGGATTTATTAGAAACATAGAAGATAGGAGCAGGAGGAGGCCATTTGGCCCTTCCAGCCTGCTCTGCCATTCATTATGATCTTGTCTGGTCGACCAACTCAACAGCCTAATCCTGCTTTCTCCCCGTAACCTGTGATCCCATTCGCCCCAAGTGCTATATCTAGTCACCTCTTGAATATATTCAATGTTTTGGCATCAACTACTTCCTGCGGTAATGAATACCTCAGGCTCACCAATCTTTGGGTGAAGAAATGTCTCCTCATCTCCGTCCTAAATGGTCTATCCCAAATCCTCAGGCTGTGGCCCCTGGTTCTGGACACACCCACCATTGGGAACATCCTTCCTGCATCTACCCTGTCCAGTCCGGTTAGAATTTTATAAGCCTCTCTGAGATTCCCTCCTCATTCATCTGAACTCCAGCGAAAACAATCCCAACCTAGTCAATCTCTCCTCATATGTCAGTCCCACCATCCCCGGAATCAGCCTGGTAAACCTTCACTGCACTTCCTCGAGAGCAAGAGCATCCTTTCTCAGAAAAGGCGTGGTCATAATATTCTAGGTGTTGTCTCACCAAGACCCTGTATAACTGCAACAACACATCCCTGCTCCTGTGCTCAAAATCTTTTGCAATGAAGGCTAACATATCATTTAGAGATAGTAAGAACTGCTGATGCTGGAGTCTGAGATAACACAGTGTGGGGCTGGAGGAACACAGCAGGCCAGGCAGCATCAGAAGAACAGGAAAGCTGATGTTTCGGGTCAGGACCCTTCTTCAGAAAATGGCTGAAAATTTCCAAAAAAGGGTCCTGACCTGAAACGTTAACATATCATTTGCCTTCTTTACCGCCTGCTGCACCTGCATGCTTATCTTCAGTGACTAGTGCACAAGGACACCCAGATCCCGCTGCACACTCCCCTCTCCCAATTTACAGCCATTCAGGTAGTAATCTGCCTTCTTGTTTTTGCTTCCAAAGTGAATCACCTCACATTTATCCAAATTATACTGCACCTACCATTGCTTTGCCCACTCACCCAACCTGTCAAGATCATGCTGAAGGATCTCTGCATTCTCGTCACATTTCACCCTCCCACCTGAATTGGTATCATCTGCAAACTTTGAGATGTTTAATTTTGTTTCCTCATCCAAATCATTTTTGTTGTGAATAGCTGGCGTCCCAGCACTGATTCCCTGTGGCACCCCACTAATTACTGCCTGACAATTTGAAAAGGACACATTAACTCCTAATGTTAGTTCCTCTCTGCCAACCAGTTTTCTATCCATCTCAATACACTTGCCCCAATCCCAGGCACTTTAATCTTGCACAATAATCTCTTATCTGAGTGCAGGAGTCCCCCTTGCCTTTCAAATACCACTCTCGCTGGGTGATACAATGCAGACGCCACAGTTTGGACTGTCCAAATTCCACTCTCCCTCTCAGCCATGAACTGAGTTCACGAGTGTTTGCACCAACCAAACAGAACGACTCATCTTGTTGACAGACGGTCACGGGACTGGCGCTAGCATCCAGGAGGTTGGAGGGCCACCCGCTGAGAGCAAAGACTTGTGGAGATTTACATCCTTAGGCCAATCCCGAAGCTGACAGTAGATGGGAAACGCTTTCTGAAAATCCAAATATATCACATCGACTGGCTCCCCCTTGTCAACTCTACTAGTTACATCTTCATAGAATTCCAACAGATTTGTCAAACATGATTTCCCCTTCATAAATCCATGCTGGATCTGTCTGACCCTACCACTGCTTACTAAATGCCACGTTATAAAGTCCTTGAGAATGGATTTGAAAACTTTTCCCCTCTACTGTGTTAGGCCTGCTGGTCTATAATTCCCTGTTTTCGCTCTATCTCCCTTTTTGAATACTGAAATGACATTAGCTACCCTCCAATCTGCAGGGACTATTCCTGAGTCCATAGAATCCTGGGAGATGACCTCCAATGCATCCATTATTTTTAGAGCCACTTCCTTAAGTACTCTGGGAGGTAGATTTTTAGAGATAGTTAGAGATGTTTAATCTCATGAGAGGTGACGATAGAGAGAAGTTGTCTCTGGTGGCAGAAGGGTCTAGCACACTGATTTAGGTGAAAGAAGTAAAGGCAACATGAGGAGGAACCTTTTCAGGCAGCAAGAGGTTAGGATCTGGACTACACAGCCCGACAGGGGAGTGGAGCAGAATGAATCATGGTTTTCAAAAGGGCATTGGATTATTATCTCAAGAGAAAAGATTTGGAGGGCTATGAGGGAGAAAGTAGTTCTTCCAAAGAGCGATCACAGACACAATGAAAAAAGGCCTCTTTCTTTGCAGGGTCCATTCTATAATTCCTAAGGCCTTGCAGAGGGTACAGAGACGGTTAAAATCCAGTTTAAGTATCTTCAGATAGATGGAATTCACAAGAAAGCTCGGGTTGATTCCTTTACAGCAGAGTTTATGGGAAGATTTAACAGAAGAGTTCACAATTATTTTGCTATTACTAACACCAACACATTACTATTAAGACATTAGATGACTATTTAAATAAGAAGAACATGCAGATTATGGGGAAAAGAATGATATGGAGTTATGAGGTTCATTCAGGGAGTTTGTGCAGACACCGTGGGTCGAACAAACACCTTCTGTGCTGTAACAAATCTGCAGTTATAAGGGGTTTTCAATGAAGTAAATAAGGAGAAATGGCACGACGGTCAGTGAAATAACTGCCCAGAGACTGGGATTCCAACATCGAGTAACCCTTCATTTACATGGGGCTGTGATCAGCCAGCTCAGAGCCAGTCCCTAGGCTGAGGAGACTCTCTGAATCGCCTGTTCATACCTGTCAGCCAGGGCTTCCTGATTGGCCCAGGGTAACAGCCCCAATCAGGGATCTCATGGTCAGTGGACCCACCTGGTGCTTGTTCCAATTATACAGTCAGTAACCAGGGATGGAATCATTGGCAGAAGGACTAGAGAGGAGAGGAGAAGGTACTTTATACAGTAGGTAGCTGAGATCTGGAATGCACAGCCTGAAAGGATGATGGTAGCTGATTCAGTCGAAACTGAAATGGGAATTACAGAGCCTTGGGTAAGAGCAAGGAAATAGGACTAATTGGATAACTTTTCTAAAGTGTCAGTAGCAGACATGATGAGCTTCAATCTGTAGAATTCTGTGATATTAATTACCCATAACATTCTGAAAGCTGGATATAATGCGCTAGATGTGGCAATCACTTTTCCATCCTTGAAAACTCAGCTGTTATCTCTTAATAGAGAACTAGCATTGTCCAGACAGGATTACAGCCTAATCCCATCCTGAACCAATTTCCATATGTTGTGCGGCTCACTGGATAGTGAGCAGGACATGATCATTGCCCACGGCTGCAGAGTTCACTGTTCGATTACTGTATGAACTCACTGGGATTGTGTGCGGGGCTCTGTGGGACTCAGCATCATGTTCAGTGTTTAATTATGGAGCCAGAGAGTTGGATCAGCTTCACTCAATGTGGAATAAATCTGCTTCTTTCAATGCAATACCATCCCACCTGGACAAACTTGCAAAATGCATGCATTCCCAACCTTACGGACCACTCACAATCTGAATTGAACGTGACTTTGTGCTGTAAATTATGGAAAGACAACTAATGCATATCAATTTAAAGAAAAAAAACACTGAACAATTTGTGTATGTGTGTTACTTATTTTGTTGTGAAACTATTTTGGAGACAATTATAATAATCATCTACAGGGCCCGATCTTAACTGAATTAAAAAACTCACTCACTAACAGAATTAAGCTTGAGTGTAATTTACAGGAAAACATCCATAGGATTATATGAAGGTTATGGTTACAGACTTGGTACGGGGATAACTTTAATCCTATTCTCTGGGAAGGATAGCCTTGGGTTCATAATTGCTAGGTTAAGTTAGAGCTATCCCTTATGCCCCTAACTCTAGACTGGACAAACTCAGATTTACATCAAGTTGCTTATGAGTGGCCACTTTAAAAGGTTCAATGCGTTATACATACCAGGGAAGCTTGCTTTCATTTGGAGCACCTCCGCCATCTTGACCTCTGATCTTCTTCAGTTGCTAGGAGATTAAGTTGTCACACGGGAGTCTGTGGTCAAGAAGATAAGGAAGTCAGAATGTCACAGGAGACAGGCAGGACAGAACACATGGTTCATTTGTCAGCAGTAGCTCAGCAGTAGAAGGTTTCCAGTTTGAGAACCACACTAGAGATATTCAGACATAATCTATGCTGTGACCCCCCCAGTGTGGTACTGAGGGGTTGTTGTGTTGTCAGAGCCATCTTTGGGATGAGATCTTAAACTAAGGCCCTGTCTGGACATAAAAGATCCTATTATGGAAAAGGGGAAGGGAATTCTGCCCCGTGGCCTGGCCAATATCTAAGCCTTGGTTGACAGCGTCAAAAACAAACTAAATAAAACCAAAAGAACTATGGATGCTGTAAATCAGGAACAAAAACAAAGTTGCTGGA